CTGCAGCCTTCTAGTACCCAAAGGGGACCTACAGGAGAGATGGGGAGGGACTCTTGATCGGGGAGTGGAACCATAGGACGAGGGGCAACAGTTTTAAACTGAAAGAGAGAGATTTAGATTAGATATTAGGAAGAACATATTTCACTCTGAGGGTGGTGAGACACTGGAACAGGTTGCCCAAAGAAGCTGTGGATGCCCTATCCCTGGAGATGTTCAAGGCCAGGCTGGATGGGGCTTTGAGCAACCTGGTCTAGTGGGAGGTGTCTCTGCCCAGGGCAGGGGGGGGTGTGGAACTGGAAGATCCCTTTCAATCCAAACCATTCTGTGATTCTACAAAGCTGAACTTCCCAACAGCTTAATTGATCAGATTGCAGTGAACGGGGAATGAGGTGCACATTTTGAACACCATTTTGCAGCAGCCCTTAACGTCTGACTCTTGAGTCAGAGATTTAGGAAAGAATAGTGGCAAAGTAGCACAACTAAAAAGTTCCATTACCAATAAGGGAAATCCTTATCATAAAGACATGAGAGAACAAACTGGGATGGTAGGTCTTAATCTTAAATTCCCCTTAAAAGTGAGCTTGTCCATATATAGAAACTGAGGTATTTGGCTATCCATCACTGGGACTGCTCAATGAAACATGCTCTTTCTCTCCAAATGGTGATAATTTTAGTCTAAGTGCATGAAGCAGGCAGTTGTCAAACAGTTTTGGACTCAGGTCACAAAGGGTCACCATCCACACTGTGTGTTGACAGTGATCTGTAGGTGCACTATCACTGGAAAACTGAATGCAATGAGGATTCAAAATAGCTCTTGGGTTAGTCTAGGGCAGGTAAGAGCACCCCTACCAGTCCCTGCCTCTGAACCAAGTATTTGGGAGCTACAGCTCCTGATTCTTTTTTGCTGCAGAACAACAAACCTATAAATGGTAGGAGCTCTTCTATGGCTTTCTGGAGACATGGACAGAAAATCATGTAAAAGGAAGACTTGCAAAATCTATGCATTTTTTTCTAGCTTAAAAATGTCAGGTAAGCAAATAACTGAGTGTACCTGGACCTCTATGCAGATATGAACTCCAGCTATGTAATCAAACTCCTTTGAAGCTTCTGACTGTGGTTCATTGCAATTCAAATAGCAAGAGAAAGGAGGTTCCATTGCATTGCGGATTCGTTACAATATTAACCTCTGGGTGCATCCGCAGGAAACCACCCCTTACTTTGATAGGCACTCAAGTCAAATTCATTTAAGAAAGGTAGAGCCCAGGATATTAAACTGTCCTGGAGAAAAACAAGGTGATTTATTTGTGTGATAGTTCTGAGTCACAAGTGGTCTGGTAGAGGCCATCAAACTCACTGCATCAAGTGTGGCAACATTTATATTTAAGATGCCAGAAATTAAATACTACACATTTCAGGATCGAGCATAAACCCAAGTCAGTAGGTTCTAAATGCCAGGTCCTTTGTAGCTTTCTGTTCCTCAGAATTTCAGACCTTTGTTGTCACTCATACAATGACACCTGTCTGAATTTGCAAAAGGCTGAAACTATGCAGTTACCATTCACTTTGAGTACTTTTATATTTGGAGCATGAAACATGAGACTAATATTACAAATATCAGTGCAAACTAAATTATCAGAAAAGAATCTAAGTGTTAGCCATATCTTTCTTGAGTTAAAAAAGAACTGAAACACCAAAAGTCCCACTTTGTATGGAAGATGAGATAGAACTTGGCTTCAATCATCTGCTTTAGATAGACCAAAGGTTATATAAAGTGATGGTTAACCTAACAAATCAGCATGGGAGCCCAAGAGAGAATAGTTCTACACACAGAAGGCATGAATTTTTACTCCAAAAGCCTGTTTAATTGACTGAGGGAAAACCTGCACTATTTCCTTAGTGCTGCTTGGAAGAGTGTTACACTCCTTGTTTAAAAATGGTGGGTTTTGTACTGCTCAAACTCTGATGAAGAGAGGATGCAAAGAAGTAGCTAATGAGACAGCATACCTGAATAACATCACTTGTATCAAGAAAAGTGAAAATCTCTGAAGTTTTATTTAGCTAGTTACATTATGGAAGATGTATTTCTTCAGCACTATATTGCGTGTGTATGAATACTGAACTACCACTCGACTGAGAAATGACCTAAGCACCTGTCATCAGCACAGTACTTCCATCTCAACTGACAGACCACTTTCATCACAGACTAATGCCAAGGAGGAGGTGAAATATACCCAAAATGTCAAACAATAACACCAGGAAGAAAAAAGTGGTGGAGGCAGACCTCCATCAATTTCAAAACCTGCACAATTAAAATTTCCATTAGGATGAAGTCTGAAAGGAATTAATCTGATGTTTCAAATGCATAATGTGTCAAACTTTCTGGCATTATACTCCACCAATTACGTCAAAAGGTCATTAGAAATAAGTGCTAATCTACAGTCAGTCAACACCCTCATACGCCATACATTGTAAACTCGGAATAAGAAGACTTCATCCATATTTCTATACAGTAGTGCAAACTACATATATACACTTCACAAAGTGTTTGTGACAATGTTTGCCGAAATGTCTTTGCAGAAATCCTACTCTATACAACTTAGTTTGGATATGCTATATACACTGATACAGAGTCATAGGCAAACTCTAGATCACCTTGATACACAAAAACTCCTTGTCATTTTTAGTTGCTAACAATTCACATTTAATTCTTGCATTTAGGTGTTTATATAAAATTATTTTTTTCCCCAAGTCATTCCAAAACTGTGAATTTTGATGTCTACTTCTTCTATTCAATAATAAAAAAATTCTAGGCAATAAGGAAAAAAAATGCTTATTATGGTTGATGTCAAAATGCTAAAGATGCGCAATTTACATTAATTCCTGCTTTATAAGAACTTGTCATAACAGGAATGAATTCTAAAAGAACTTCAACCAAAACTGAATGAAAACTCATATATATTTGTTAGCAAATGTAGCCTGCATTTTCATCATGCCAATTACAGCATATTGCTCTTTCTATTTTAATCCTTTCTTAATGGGCAAGCTTATCTTCCCATTATTCAGGGAACTTTTTTGTTCATGCTTCAGCAATTGCATGACAACTGATTAACAAATGGGGGAACTACTCTTTGACAGTTCTCCTAGAACAGCACAAACAGAGCTCTCAACATAGATGATGCCGGGACCCTAATTTCTGTCTTAACTAGATTAAAGGCCATATATGGTGAACAGTAGCTAATCACCTAACACAGTTGAGGAATACATCTTCTTTTCATCATAAGCCTCAAACACAGCATACGCTGTGACAGAAACGATGACAACACTTTATCAGTCTGGCATGGCTTAAGAGCATATTTCCTACACTTTTTACATCTGTGCTTACTATTTAATCTTCCCTACAAAAAGTGTAAAGTACTGGAACTGGAGATGTGGCCCTTCTAGCAGGTCAGCACATGGCACTGCTGTATACAAAATAAATAGGGTGATTTCAGCTGATTTCCAGGCGGATCGTTACAAACCACCATGTCCAGTCGTTAGCCTCTATACAAGAGAGGCCCAAGACTGAGCTAGCATAAATACCAAATTACTTACCACCTCTAGAGAGGGTGGTCGCTCCAGGCCAGGGTTGAGCTCATGGGCAAGGCTGTGCAAGGAAGCTGTCTGTACAATGCCTGGCCTGCGGATATACAGAGGACTTCAGTCTCCTGTACTGTCAATCTCAGTCAGCATGAGCTCAAATATTCACCAAAAATGTAAGGGTCAAATTGTGCCCTCAGATGCCTCAGAGCTGTAGCTCCCATTAAGTGCAATGGAAACCATATATGCATTCAGCCAAAGGGGATCTGACCCTAAGAAGGCATTAAGCAGCAAGCCCACCTAAGCAGAAGAGGACCATCGTACTCGAAAAGTTTGTGACATATAACATTTGCTTCAAAACTTGTAAAAATCAACATCTCATTTGTAATTCTAAAATCAAGAAACTGTATTTTGTAACTCTATACGGTGAGAATTCAGAATCTCAAGTCAGATTTTTCATTACATGAATAATTTAGAACCAGGAATAAGAATCTAATTAATGACACCACTTTAACCCTAGAAGCTGCGGTGAACATAATTCAAATGCATAACCCTGTTAAAATGCAAAGATCTTTGTAAATTTTGTGCAGCCTACCACCTGTTCTGTTAGAAGGCTTTCATGAGACTAATCGCCTCAGCTTTAGGCTACTCCTGTTTCTGAATTTCAACAAGTACAATTCCTGCATTACCGGATTTCCAAATCTCCACACTACTGGAAGAATCTCAAGATATCTCCTTCAGATACAAATGATAACATTTTCTTGGAATTGTGCTTTTAACTCACTGCAGAGTAGATGAGACTTGATCCCCAATAACGATGTCTTTCAAGAAGATTTGGAATAAATGTATACATAAGTCAATGCACGCATCCACATCCATTTCCAAGGTTGCCATTTATGAGGACTGTTTGTTTATATGTTGAGAGCAAAACAATAACCTCCTCATTTTCATCAAGAGCTCCTTAAGCACAAGCACAGAATAATTTACCTTACAGATTAATGCGTAGGAAGGGACAGAAGACTTTGAATTAAATAATTTATTTTTACTTGAATCATACTGCCTATAGAACAGACATATGAAAATATAACCATTCCCATCTCCTGCAGTTTCTGGATCTGTTACTTACCATCTAGCTGCAAGGGATAAGTACTCGAATAAGGAATTCTGCCTTTCTTCACAACTTTCTTTTTCTGCCCTCTGATTTAACACAGATGCAAATGCACACACAAATACACACACACACACTCATTGTATATTCATTTAGACGACATTTCAGGCGAGGAGTGGAACCACAGAGAGCCCACCACAATTTTTAAAACAGAGCCTTCTCAGGCGAGACCAACACCGAACAGTCTGAGCGCCACAGCACAGCGTTACACCAATTCCATTCGTAAAAGAAGGCCAAATCAAAAGATATTACTTACATGTATGAGTCTTCTTTGTTACAGAAATACCTGTGAGGAAGAAATGACACCAATGTTAGCAAAGCGACCACTGGGTAAATTCTTTTGACATGTATTTTGTCATTAAACCATTTTATTTCAGGCACACAGTGGCCACTATAAGAGAGGAATGAAAACTGCAATGATTGTACATTAGAGGTGGGAGGATCTCCCTTCTTTGCATGCAGACATTAATGGTATATTCTCTCCTTGCACCTCATCAATAAATATTTCAGCATGTATTGCTTAAATTTTGTTGTTGGGATGCGCTGTTTTCAAACTGAAGCTGATGCAAACAGAAGACACCAACACCGCTATGGAGTCCCCTTTTATTTTCCATGGCTAAAGATTTTCCCACACTCGTATTAACTGGCGCACATCAGACTACCCAGACAGAACAGATTTGAGCAGTACAACAATTCATTTGCTGTGTTATTAAGTTCAAGTAGTTCCTTGACTGCAAGCTGTAGCTTATGCTCATTAAAACTAAATGAACAGCTCTCTCAATATGAGTATTACTTGCCATAATTCCAAGCCAGATGCAAATATCTCCAAGCTGTTAAATATATACTTTCTGAAGTAATAAAGATGTTTTTATGCTAGACAGGCATGTGGTGGCAATCACCAATGATGGTCCAGTGCCAGTGAAATTTGAGAGGCATTTTAAAAAAGCAGCAGAGTGAACAGAATGAGGCAGAATTCATAATACCAAATAAAGATAAAATTAACTCTGTTAAATGTCACTGGAATTCATGCTTGAATACAAACAATATTGTCTCCACTTTAGCAGATAAATGATGCTGTACTCGGACCCCTCAGTATTTAAGCTTCACTCTCCTTGGGGGGAATTTTATGAGAAAAGAGAGAGGTTACTGGAAGCAGTACAAGTATTTGAAATATTTCATTTGCGATTAAGGCCTGCAATGAAATTTTGGAATTGGAATTGTTTGCCTTACTATTCACGAAACATAGAAAGACCTGAATCTCTTTAGCTACCCTCCTATTGCTTTAACTGCCTCTTCCAAAACCAAATTACCGTGGAAAAAATAGGCATTTATTTCAGGCTTCTTTGTTGTGGAACATCTCAGGAAAGCAATAGGTTTTAAATAATTCAGAAAAATATAGATACCTTATTTGCAAATTTAGAGCTAGCTTCCAAAGCCAGCACATTTCAAACTATTCATGTTTTCGGTAGAGACATAAAGCCACAATGCCAACCCCAAATATGTAGCTATCAAGTTTGACATAAATGTCATGAGGATTTTTTTGTGATTACGCTGGTGTTGAATTGGCCTTTCGGTTTTGAACCACCAAGTTCTACAAGTGTGAGCACTGGAACCTTTCTTTTCCCCAAAAAGAAAAGCTGAGAGGCTCCAGGCTTTGGGAAAAGAAGTTCTGAGCAATTCTTTTGAATAATTTTGTAAATGTGAGACATTGGTAAGCAATTTACAAACATTAGAATACTAGAACTTGATTATGTTTGTGTGCTGACTTAAATTGAAAGGTCCCAGTCACATCTTCACATTCCTTATGTTAGGAAAGGAAACCGTGGAGCCAGGGTAAGCAATAAGAACTAAAGAAAAACAAATGTAACAAAAATAAAACCTTTTAGTCACAGAAGTAGCTACTACAGGGGGCAAATTGATCCTTTAAATTTGTATTTTGTAAAAGCCAGCTTTCTCAGATTTTCATTCCAGCCCAATCATTACCAGTGGGCTCAAGCAGGCGGACAGGACAGGAGCGTGTCGAGGTGGTGAGCGTTACTGTAGGACCGAGAGCTTAGGGCAAGAAGAGGGGCAGAGCAAGAAGCAGGAGGGAGATCTGAAGTATCTACAGCAAAATGCAAGAACAGGATCTTGTGCACTCTTTGGTATGAGTGCCGTTTGACTTCTTGTGTGACCACTGAACAGCACGTACAGCTCCTGACAGAGCCTTCATCACCACGAACTCTCCTAACGTTCCCTTGGCAGACGTACTCGCCCACCCTTGCCTATCTAGCCAGCTCCTACAATTTTAAGGATATTTCATGGAATGGGAAATGCAGAGAAAAATGTCTTAAACCTGAACACCATTTGCAAAATTTCCTCTCCCAACACTAGTGCTAATAAATGGATACATCAGTGCTCTTTCAGCATTATGGGAGCCATATGTGTACTTTTCTCAGAAAATAATGCTTTCTGTAAAATCACTTGGAACAGAAAGTGCTTAGGCTGTCACTTCTGATTACTCACAGCCCCTTCACAATGGGATTTGCCACAGCACAAAACAGACTTAGCTGTATTCGCTGACTGAGGGCCTGCTTTCCCCTGATACATGAAACAGTGATGGAAATATTAGTGCCTATATTTTTCTACCTAATTTTTTTTTTATATAAGATGAGTGGTGGGTTTTTCCAATCAGAATTTTCCATAATAATTACTGATTACGATCTGGTAAGGCCTTTTAGCTGCTTTATGCAAATATTTTTAGACAACCTTTTAAAACACCAGGTTAAGAGGTAGGCTTTTTGCATCTTCTTCATAATTACACTGGTAGTTGCAATGAAACCAAAGTATTTTGCTTTGAAGGAACAGTGCAGTGACTAACTGCAGTCTGGTGGAACGAGGATAAGTGGTACAAGTGAGTTCAACAGGATTAGATTTAAATTAATCAGGAATCTTTACTTATGATAAAGTGAGTTGTGAATTTTTAAGAAGCCTTCCCTTTCACACCAGTAACTGTAAGTGACTAGAAAAACTGAGAAAAAAATGTACCAGCATATCCAAAGAGTTACTTAGGTTGGATACGCTATAACTAGTGCTTTAAATATAAATATTAAATATGCAACACATTCCTACACTGCTGCCATCAGTTTTAGTTTTAATGCAGGAAGCCAGTGACTCTGCCATTCAGAACATTCAAGAAGTAGAGTAGTCTCCTAGAAATGAGTGTACTATGACCAAAAAAAAAAAAGAACCACCAAAAAAACACCAGTCTGAAAACTACTTAATGTAGAAAAGGGGAGTTACAAGATCTTTGGGTTTCTTTGGGCCTATGCTAACTCCCACTTGTGTATATGTTTGAATGCCTTTCCTGTGAGCTGTATCCTAGAAGACTTACGCAGACAACTCATCAGTTCTTTCGAAATCAACAGGATCTCTTGAGAAACTAACTCTGCAAGTCTAACATACATCACTAATTTTCTTCACAAGATTAGACATGATTAACTGGGATCGCTCGCATTTGTAAACATTTCTGGGGCTGGACCATCAGTTTACGTAGATTTGAGCAGACACTATATAATAAAACCTAAACATAACTCACCACTGAAAGACAAAGATTTATTTGTTTTTAATAAGTGGAGCACAAAGAACATACTGGTTCCTTTCAAAATGTTACTTAATGAAAAATCCCTTTTTTTAATGGGCTTAATTTCAAAATGTGATAGACTGGAGTAATACGTGAGCACTTGCCACTATTAACACTATCTTCAACAGCCAGTTTTCCATTCTTTAACAAATAAAAAAAAAATAAAGAGAGGAAGAAACAACCCTAACTTCAGTGTTGCTAATACAAAAAGACTTCCTGACTTAACCAACTAGACTTCAAAGTAAAGCAAAGGAAATGTCATGAAAATACCACAATATATCACTGCCATGGTTATCAGTGAGTGAAAGTTTCAGTATTACAGTTATCACAGAATTTATCACTTCGGCAGTGCAATTTGACATTCCTGATCAGCACCAAATCTTAAACAAATTAACTTCTTAGACTTTTCATTGTTGCTATGCAATGCTCTTTGCAACAACAATCGACTTTTTTTTAAATGAAAAGAATTCATACACCATTCCCTTTCCCCCTCCCACTAACAATATGTAATTTGCCATGATGGGTGGTATTTACAAAAATAGCTTTCTGGATGCAATGAACTTTGAAAAGAGTATCTACCAACAGAGACAGGATATTCTTTTGCAAGCGGTTAGCCTGACTGACCTTCACTAGTCAGCTTCAAATAGAGATAACAATGTCTTCAAGTACAAAAAGAGACTCAGATATTTTATACATCATAAGCTATTTCTCACAGTTGCCCATCCAAATAAAGAAGCATAATGAAACACTGCTTAGTCTGTGAACCTAGATCCCTGCTGCTGTTGTACAGTTGTCAACTTCCCATTTTTCAAGGGGAAAACATACTTTGATGTACAGAAAGATAAGTAAAAAGTCCCCTGTCTGGCAGAATACATTACTCTGCAAAATATCAAAGGAGGATATTCTTGAGTGCAATTTTCTTAAACCCCCAAGAAAATTCTTCCTCAGAAATTTGCATGGATAAACACAGGCATCACTGGCAAAGCGCATCACTGATCTCCAGGACTTCTCTCAAGCAGCACCATGTTTCCTTTGCTTCACGTTTTGTGCCAAAATCAGGTGATTAACATTGGTCTGATGACAGAACATCTATGTAGATGGTATATGTATATGATGCTTTGCTCATATGGGTATGTGTATCTATATATATATATATATATTTATTTTTATTTTTTTTTTTACTGTCTTCTACCCTCCCCTCAAGCCGGCATTATGTCTCTAGCATGTTTTGGAACTTTGGAACCCATTTTATGATGGTTTGGAAATCTTGGGGGAAAAAAAAAGTTAAAATTTTAAACTCTAAGCCTCCTGCTGACATATTGTGTAAAATCAGAAAGAAAATGGATTACAAGTGTGGATCCTACTGTGTTTCATCCTGTCACTCCACTGCTTCTTTACTCTGTCACTACACAAAGCCAGCAATTAAGGTGGAAGATTATATGTAACACTCGGGCACTTGCAGAGAACCTACCAAAGCAGAATAATAGATCTGAGTGTATTCAGAAATTCAGAAAAGAGCTCATTCCTTTAGAAAATTTAATAATGGTTTATATTAAAATACGTAAGGATCTCTGGCTTGAAGGAATTTTATGATCTTTGTAGGCCACTGTTTATGGTGACCAAGGTGAAAATAACATACACAGAAGTACTGTAAATACAACTTC